GGTCCCCACCATCTCCTCCGCCATACAATCCTACCTCCCTCACCGCCTCCATGGCCGGTCCCCGCTCTTCATCTCCACCCTCCACCCGCAGACGCCTCTCTCCGCCGCCGCCGTCGGCGGCCCCTCTTCACCGTCGCCTCCCCCAGCCTCCGCGACGCCGCCGCCGCCGCAGGCCGTGGACGCCTCCCTGGCCATCGCCACCAGGTCAGAAACCCTAACCGACCCCAAAACACCGGCCTCCCATCAGAAGCAGCTTCAGCCGTCATCTTCCTCCTCCACCGCTCCTAAAAGGTCGACCAAGGACCGGCACACAAAAGTGGACGGCCGTGGGCGGCGCATCCGTATGCCGGCGACCTGCGCGGCTAGGGTTTTCCAGCTCACCCGCGAGCTTGGCCACAAATCCGACGGCGAGACGATTGAGTGGCTTCTCCACCAAGCCGAGCCGGCCATCATAGCGGCCACCGGCACCGGCACGATTCCGGCCAATTTCTCCTCCCTCAACATCTCTATGAGGAGCAGCGGCTCCACCCTCCTTGCGCCGCCCTCCAAATCGGCTCCCCTCTCTTTCCACAGCTTAGCTGCCGCTCAACATCCCAATAATTACCCCAATTATGAGGAAAGCTTCTCTCATATGTTAGGGTTTCACCACCCACAACAGCCGCCGCCGCCGCCGCCGCCACATCTTCTCCCCGAAGAGAATTATGTACGGAAGAGATACAGAGAGGATTTATTCAAAGAAAACAATTCGGAGAATTCACAGGGCGGCGAAGGACCCAGCTCGCCTTCTAAAACTTGCAATAGCGTCCAAATTGTACACAAGGACGGAGGTGAAAGGTCTCCGCACCAGATCGTGATGGCTCAGCCCACGGCCATGTGGGCCGTGACGCCGGCGGCAACTAGCGGCGCGGGTAGCATGTTCCAGATGTGGCCCTTTGGCGGCGGGAGCACGGTTCAGGCGCCGCTGCACTTGATGCACAGGATTAATTACTCCGGGAATCTCGATTTTCAGCCTTCTCAGCATTTGGGATTGGGAGTGGCGGCCGAGTCGAATCTGGGAATGCTAGCGGCTTTTAATGCTTATAATAATAATAATAATACTAATAATAGTTCGAGAAATAATTTGAATGTGAATTTGGAGGATGTCGAGGATCATCAGCAGCAGCAGCGGCCGGGGACGGAGAGTGACGATGACGGCCAAAACACTTCTCAGTAAATTCATCCATCTTCTGAGGTGCAAAATCTTGACAAATTGTTTAATACTATTTAATAAATGATATTTGAATTATTATTTAATTTTAATTAATTTTTTCAACACTGTTGCAGATTTAATTGAGGGAAAACAGGCTGTGGGAAGGAAGGGGGTGATGATGGGTACCGAGAGAGAAGACGACAAAGGTATCAATCAGTGATATTTCTGGAATTTTTAATTTATTATGCGTTTGTTGTGGGTTTGTTATTTTTTGCTTTTTTTTTTTTAATTTTATTTTTGTTTTTTGTTTTGTTTTTGGTGGAATCTTGTGTACCTAGCGAGTGAAGAAAATTTTAAATTGTGTTTGTGTGTTATTATTAGTTTGGTCCGAAAAGTGGGCATTAGGATTATTTTAGGCGTGCCAGCGAGTGAGAGAAAGAGTGTGTGTTGATTTTGTATAGGAGGAAGAGGAGGAGAATTTGGTTCGTGTTGGTATTTATNTTCACAACCGTGGACATATTGAGGAAATTAACGAAAAAGGAGTGAGAAGATCCCGAGAGAAAGTTACCATGATTTATCCATAAAAATAAAGATTCATCATCTTGTTTTGTTTATTTATTATTTTCATTTCTCTTCTTTTTATACCACATCTTGTATTAATCAAGTAATCACAAGTTCTAGTTGAGAAAATTTTAAACTGGACCAGTTTTTTTGCTTTCCAATGCCGAATGTTTTGCCTAAAAAAGTTCTAAACCAAAATTGCGCATAGCAAAATGTAAAATGAAATTGTACAAATTCTATAGAAATCTAATTTCAACCAATTTAACTCATTTGGACTCATGAATTAACCTAACCTGTGGAAGGTTTGCATTTCTTTAACCGAAGTATGTATGTCACTACATTGCCTCGTGATAGAAAACTTCTTATTGTTTTATTTTATTTTATATATATCAAATTCAAAAATAGTAAAGTAACATTTAAGATCATTATATATATTTTCATAGTTTATAGTGCATGTTTTTCATGCTTTCTGCTATAAGCAGTCCCACTTCTCCTGGATATCGTCCTCAAGTTTTTGAATTTACAATAATGTGATATCTTGTTCCGTTGACTTGTGAAATGAAATCTTGTTAGTCTCATTGCTTTACCTATAATATTTCACTTACTGTATCAATAAATAATAATTCACTGAGATTTAATGCTCTTATTTATCAGCGTTTAGTAAAGACGAAAATCCACACAACCACATAACCTAAATATGTTTCACATGTAACTATAATTGTTGTTTATAATTTTTAGCCTATCATTTAATAGAACAATACATTTCAATTATTAAGATTAGTATGAGACCAACCTTACTTATTCAGCCAATCATGTACAACACCGATCTGACAAATAGACACATTGACATTACACTACAAAGTGGACCTGCCGATCTACATACTGAAAGATGGAGCATCCTTCGTGCCGATCTGGTTTGGCGTATGAAAGGAGTTGACCGCCCAACTACAAAGTGAACGTCTCATCTCCCAAAAGTTGAGAGTCACTTGTTGCTGTCAAATTTTGATAATTGGGGCACCAATGGTGTGGTCTCACACAGTAAAGCGTACCATAAGAGAGTGAGCCTAATTACACCTTAGTGAGGTTCCATCCCAAAACTAATTGGTGATGGGAGGAGTAGCCCACTAGGCTTATAAACTAGACTCATTTACCCTATTAAATCGATGTGGGACGACTCACAAGTGATATTCCAACAGTTACCATGCATTAGGAAAAATCACTAGCCGACAAACATTTTTATATCGCGTGCAACTTCGATATAATTTCAGCCGATGTAGTAAGTGTCACCTTTATATATCGGGTGACACAATAATAAACTACTTTCTACATCGGGTTACGGTTGAGATGTTCATCATCTAGCTTGGGAGTTCATCATCAAGCATGTAGGGTGACATGCACGTTGTCGTGCATGATGGATGGAGGATTAGAATATATGTTTTCTTCCTTTTACGTTTTATGTTTTATTTCCTTTTTCTAGTGTAAGTTGAAAATCGCATTTCACTTACTAAGTCGCAGGGTATTCAGCTAAGACGTGTTGCAACTTTTTCTTTGTTTAGTTAGTTAAATATGGGCATGTGTCACTCAGTCATTGAGGCGTGCGGTTATTAGTTGTGAGCTAAATACGGATATATTGTATGAACTTCATCATTTTGAATGAAATTGTGGTTTATCAGATATTTCTTGGGCTCTAGCTTACGAAAATGGAGAAAAATTCCTTAGATCTACACTGTATCCAGAGCAGGTCATATAAGAGGTAATGGCGCGCGTAGACAATCGAACCAAGGAAGAACAAGACAATGTGATCGTAGGTCGAGGAAATTACTCGAGGGACACAGATCCATTGTCACTTCATGGATCCGATCATCCTGGGTTGGTACTCGTTACAAATAGCTCACTGGTGTGAATTATCTACACTGGAGTCGGGCAATGAGGATGGCTCTTGGAGCTAAGTCGAAGCTCAAATTTCTCTATGGAACTGTAGACATACCTGAAAAGAATACAAAAGAGTTTGATTAGTATATAGAATTCCTAGTTATTTCATGGTTGCTTAACTCTATTTCAAAAAAAAAAAAATGTGGAGGCATTCATTTATGTGAAAAGTGCTAAACGGAATGAGTTAGCCGAGAGATATGGAGAGGTAATGGACCTCTTAGATATCAACTACAAAAGGAGATAGCTAATTTTGCACAAGGCTCGTTTACTGTGACTGCATATTACACTAAGCTCAAATGTTTGTGGGACGAGTATTCATGTCTTGTCTCATTGCTTGAATGTGTTTGTGGATCTGGAAGATCATTTTGTAAAAATGATATGGAGATCAAGTTAAAGCAATTTCTCATGGGTCTTTAGTGAGGCGTTTGAACCAATCAAGAATCATATTTTTCTCATGGATCCTTTACCAATTATTAATAAAACATACTATATAATTTTGAAAGTGGAAAAACAAAATAACCTGGCAATAAATTTAGAAACATCAGCAATGATGGTAAAAGGAAATTTTGGAAGAGGAGGTCAATGAATTTCATGTTTTGGTAGGGGTAATGGTAGAAGAGTAATTTCAGGGCAAGTTTAAAATAGAAGAGAAGGAGGAAGGGTTAACCAAAGACGGACAAAAGAGGAGAGGGCAAAACAGTTTTGCACACATTGTGGCTATAATGGACATGAAATCCATAGGTGATTTAAGTTGAATGGATATCCTAACTGGTACAAAGAATTGAAGAAACAAAGGCAGGATCAAAATATTAACTTGGTGGAGAGTGATGAATTATCAAAAAGTGATGGTGAAGTTAAATCACAACATAGTGACTCCTTGCCGTACATAAGTGCATGCACTCATTCAGAAGGAAATTGCTAAGTATCTTTCAGGGCAACAAAGTGCAGAAACTCACACCATTTCACTATTTGTTGATCAATCGAGAAATAGAGAAGATTATGCTTTTCATTGCTTCACAAATAGGATAGGGACAAATATATCATTAACACCGGAGCTATCAGGCATATTTGTTCTGATTTTAGCATGGCGAGTAGAAGCTTTAATATCTCAACACCCGTCATTGTGAACCTGCCAGATGAATCCAAAATAAAGGTGGGAAAGATTGGAGAAGTTCAACTAAATGATCAAATCACTTTAAAAAATGTGATTTAGTGCCTGAGTTTAACTGAGCAACTAATTGAGGACAGTGATTTATGCTTCACTTTCAATAACAAAGAGTGCTTATTGCAAGATTCTAGAAGCAACATGATCATTACAACATGTAAAGGAATTGGAAACTTATATGCACTTAAAAAAGAAGGACAATATGTGAATTTTGTACAAGATGACGTAGAGAAGGAAAAACTTAAACTATCGCATAGAAGATTTTGTCATAGTTCTACCTCTTGTTTGAAACATTCATAGTTTTTAAAGGGGGGTTGTGATAAACATAAAATGGAATAGTGTGATGGTTGTCATGATCAAAACAATGCAGGCTACCCTTTTCCCTCAGTAATATACAAAGCCAAAAAATGTTTTAGTTATTCATGTTAATGTTTGGAGGCCACACCATGAGGAGTCTCTAACTAATACCTCATACATGCTGACAATTGTTGATGTCTTTACAAGAGCTACATGGATTGTGACTGGCCGTCGTAACGCGGCAAATTAAAATTTATATTTTTCCTCGGCTAACCTCTACTAACTAGTAGTAGTGGCGAGCAAGGGTAGATCCCACGAGTGTTGTGAATCAAATTGTGAATTTTCTTGTAATAATTGAAATTATAAAAAGCGATAAATGGGGGGTTTTGGTTTAATAACTAAACTACCTAAAATTCTAATGAAATAAATAAAATCTAAACAAGAAAATAAAAATAAAATAAAATAAATTAAAGAGAAATTTATTGTTTACAGTTCCATCTACACCCTCGCTCAACTAGTCTAATGGAATTACTAGCCCTAGGTAATGACACGGTCTGCTACCCGAATTTTTTCTTATTTTTAATTTAACCGCGAGACGCTCTACGATTAAACCTGACTTCTTGTACAGTCCAGAAAAACATTTTCAAGATTTAATACTATTAGCCGCTTTACGAATTAGAAAAATAAACTAGACTAAATAGTGAACTCAACCGCGTTCGTTCACTTAAATAGGCTGTATTATCCCCGATAGTTACCATCTTCTGGTTGTTTCTCATGAATTAAACCCAACAACTCTTATCTAGGTGATCAATCTAAATAAAATCAAACACATCATGGTTGCTCAGTCAAAATAACACAAACAATTTCATAAAAATAGCAAAATAATAAATCACCGTAATTAATTAAACATTGTCAAATACGTAGGGTTCGACATCCCCAGAACTAGAAATAAAATCTACTCTAACATAATAAATAAAAATAAAAGAAAGAGAATAAAATTATCCCTTTTCGTGTACGAGTGTGGCCTCCCTCCGCGATTGCGGATTCCTCGTATTTGTGCTCTTCTTTG